CTGTACAGGAAGCATGGTCCTGGTACCAGCTTGGCTTCTGGGAGGACTGAAGGAGCTTTTACTCATGGCAGAAGACAGAGTGGGGAGTAGGCACTTCACAGGGCGAAAACAGGAGCAAGAGAGAGAGAGAGAGTGGGTGGGGCTGGGAGTGCCACACACTTTTAAACAACTAAATTGTAGGAACTCAGAGTAGAAGCTCACTTACCACCAATGGGACGGCCCAAGGCAATTCATGAGGGATACACTCCCATGACCCCACCATCTCCTACCAGTCCCCACCTCTCACACTGGGAATTAAAACTCAACATGAGTTTTGGGAGGACAAATATCCAAAACATAACAGCATCCTTGATCAACTGTGGGGCTTCTCCTCCTCCTCACTGTGCCAGGCCCTGCCCTGGCCCTGAGATGTCCCAGCGCTGACAGGGCTTGCCTATCCAAGGCCTCCCCTCCGGTTCACGCACTCCATCTTCCAGGGTTTCAGCCACTGGTCTTCAACAACACTTCAAACTACCCTGCCTCCAAGACATTCAACTCAACTTTCCTTTCTCCTCCAATTCAATCTCCTATTTTTATAATGGTCTCAATTGTTCTCTTCAAGAAACTTTTTCTTCCCTGGCATAAATGTTTTCTCTGACTCAGTTACCCCATCCCACTCTCGGGACTTCCTCTGGCCATAACTTCTTTCCTATCAAGCCTGGACCCCATGATGAGTTACTTGAAACGCGCCTTTATAAGCCCCCATAACCCCCTGTTTCTAGTATCCTTCCAAGTCCCTGTCCTGAAAAATCTCAGTCATGCACAGTTCCACAGCCTGGATTCTCTACCCCATAGCCTGACGGCGCCTTGAAAGACTGATGTCCGCGCATGCTCACAGAGCAGCCAGGGTCGCAGGAGCATCTGCTGTTGTGATGATCGCTCTTCCCCATCTTCCTCATTGCCTTGTCTAAAGCTTCACCGCTCTCTCTGTCCTTCCTACGCAATAGCTCTATCATTACTCTTAGGAGGTGGTCTTAAAACAAGAGAATCTTCAAATGATCCATTTCCCCATCCCGAGCCCCTCCCCACCTGATAGGGTTAGGCTTTGTGCCCCCACCCAAATCTCATCTTGAATTACAATCCCAATAATCCCCATGTGTCAAGGGAGAGACCAGGTGGAGGTAATTGGATCATGGGGGCGGTTTCCTCCGGCAGGTTCTTGTGATAGTGAGTGAGTTCTCACGAGATCTGATGTTTTTATACCTGTTTGGTAATTCCTCCTGTGTTCATTCTCCCTCCTGCCACCTTGTGAAGAAGGTGCCTTGCTTCCCCTTCACCTTCTGCAATGATTGTGGGTTTCCTGAAGCCTCTCCAGCCAGGCAGCACTGTGAGTCAATTAAACCTCTTTCCTTTATAAATTACCCAGTCTCGGGCATTTCTTTAATAGCGGTGTAAGAATGGACTATTACGCCTCCCACCGCACACATGCATCTCCTAATCATCTCTCTCCCATCCTGAATTTCTTTCTAACACTTCCAGAGGAAGGAGGCTTATTCCTCCAGCTCCATGATATAACTTTACTACATCAAGTATCCCCATTTCCCGTATCCTCAGCCTCTTCTCCCCGTGGGCATTCCTTGGGTTCTGTGAACTTTGTTAAATTTCTCCCATCTTCCAAACAGTGAGTGCAGCAACTTGACTTTGTATTCTCTTCCAAGAATGGTCCTCTTTCCCCTTCCATTTGTAGTCAAGCTGTACTTGCTATCCTTACTTCTTCATTTCTCACTTACTTTTTTTTTTTTTTACAATTTTACATTTTTGTACATTGTTCATAATTTTAATGTTAAAAATGCTAAATGCTCACCATAAGTATAAGGCAATATGTAAAAACATAAAGAAGAGCATTTTAAATATCTAATGGTGTTATCGCCTGTTTACTGTTTTTTCCATTTATTTACGCATTAACTTATTTTTCCACTTCATCCATAAACATTTTATGACTACATGTATTGCCAATGAATAAGGAGACACGGCCAGGCACAATGGCTCACACCTGTAATCTCAATGTTTTGGGAGGCTGAGGGAGGAGGGTCACTTGAGTCCAGGAGTTCAGGACCAGCCTTGGCAACATAGCAAGACTCTGTCTTTACAGAAATAAAATTCACCAGGTGTGAGGGGATGTGCCTGTAGTCCTAGCTAAAGCAGGAGGACCACTGTGCTGAAATGAGCTACGATTGTACCCACTGTGCTCCAGCCTGAGTGACAGAGTGGGACACTGTCTATAGATATAAAAAATAAATAAATAAAGAGACCCTTAAAAATCTATAACATTATTATCATACCTAAATAGAAATAAACAAAACTTCCTTAATATCATCAGATCTCTACCACCCTTACACTTTGAGGACTGCCGGTTCAGATTTTTTCTATTTATAGACATGCAATGTCAGATATATCCATTTTTATTAAAAATACAATCTTATTACATATGCTATTGTAAACCTGTCTTTTCCCCTTATTAATATCTTGTATCTTTTTAAATTCCAATGGAGCTTCATTTTTAAAACCTGTCCAGTAGTTTTTGTATAAATATAAATTATTTAATCAGTAACCTATATATGCCTGCAAAGTGTTAGGCTACTATTACTCTTTTTCTTCTCTATTATAAATAGTGTTGCTACAAACATCAATATTTTGTTCTGATGCCTTATTTGGGGGACAAGGCTCATCTTGTCTCTGAGCCATAGGGAATTTAATATAAGAACAGAAGGATTTAATTTCATACCTTTTTCAATATTATCCATTTGTTAAAATCCATTTACTTTTGAGCTACTGCAGTTGAATTTCTACCTCCACCAATCTCTCCTCATAAAAGGACATCTGTAATTTTGTTCTTTTTTTATTTTTATTTTTTTAGAAGCAGGGTCTCACTCCGTTGCTCAGGCTGAGAATGCAGTGGCACGATCATAGCTCACTATGCACGATCATAGCTCGCTGCAGCCTTGAACTCCTGGGCTTAGATGATCTTCCTGCCTCAGCCTCCCAAGTATCTGGGACTACAGGCTTGTACCACCACATTGGCTAATTTTTTTTTTTTCTTTATTAGCAATGAGGTCTCACTATGTTGCCCAATCTGGTCTCAAACACCTGGCCTCAAGCCAAGATCCTCCTGATTTGGCTTCCCAAAATGGTGGGATTACAGGCATAAACCTGGCCCATAATTTCTTTTTTAATGTAATTTAAGTTCCAGGGTACATGTGAAGGATGTGCACGTTTATTACGGAGGCAAACGTGTGCCATGGTGGTTTGCTGTACCTGTCAACCCATCACCTAGGTATTAAGCCCAATATACACTAGCTATTTTTCCTGATGTTCTCTCTCCCTCAGCCCCTGCCCCCCCCAACCCCAACAGGCCCCAGTGTGTGATGTTCCCCTCCCTGTGTCCACGTGTTCTCATTGTTCAACTCCTACTTACAAGTGAGAACGTGCAGTGTTTGGTTTTCTGTTCCTGGTGTTAGTTTGCCGAGGATAATGGTTTCCAGCTCCATCCATGTCCCTGCAAAGGACATGACACAATTTCCAAGTTAGTGCATAAAGGTCTTTGTCCTTCTTTACTCCTCTGCAGGATTTGGCATTCTTTGTCACTCTCTTATTTTTGCAACTTTCTTTTCCTCAGGCTTCTGTAAAAGCCACTTTCCTGGATTACCTCCTACAACTGATTTCCCTGCCTTAGCTTTCCTCTCCAGATCATCTTTATCTCCCTGTTTTCTGGGAGGCTGTAAGTGACTCTGTGCTTTGGGTTTTGCATTTTCTCATTGGGCAGTGCAGATCAGCTACCAGGCAATTGAGGTACAGCGGGATAGGCACAGATGGGCCGCTGACCAAGTGCACAGAACATCAAACAGAGGCTCAGTGAGTGTGCCTAGGGCTGTCCAGACTAGAGAGCAGTTGTGCATGCTGGAGCTTGGGACCTAGGGCTCTTGGTGACAGAAGAGGTTGGAGAAACTGGCCAAGGCCAGCATGCGAGGACCTGTGCATGCCACACTAGGGAGTCTGGACTCCATCCTTCTGTCTGGTAGTTTTTTTCTGGATTTCATGGTGTAACTGAGCACTTTCATTTCATCTTTTGTGATTCAGCCTACATCTGCAATGTAGAAATTTCTTTCTTCGTTCCATAGAGATGAGCATACTATTATTGCTCCTGTGACTACAAAGAGAAACTGTGTAAAAGAAGTCATGATTCTCAAGGGTGGGAGTGGGGAGCAGAAAATTAGGTCTCTGTATTCAGTGGGTCTAAAATAAAGAATGTTAATGGGATATTCTGTGTGATTTATTGGAATTCTCAAAATATTTATCCAGCCAGCAGACAGACCCAGCATGGAACCTGAGACAAAATAGTAAGTTCTAGAACATTTACAAAACAAACTTGTGGCTGAAAACAGACTCCATTGCAGTGCCGTGGGCATGTAGCATGCTTTGGAAAAGTCATTTTCATCAGGGCAGAGTTTTCTAAAGGAGCGCAGGAACGTGGTGTTCAGCCATGTGGATGTCGGGTCCTTGACCACATCAGGCTGTTTCCCCAAATGAGGTTGGCACCTCACATTTCTATCACCTCAGGATTCATCTCCCCATACAGAATGTTCCTCAGTTTAACTGGCCCCACTATACAATGAGAGAAAAGTGATGAGAGAAGAATGCCTCATGTCTGAAACGTCACCTGCATGTTTTCTATCCTTATGGGGAAATGACTTCTGCTTAAAATCTTCTCCTTGCAAGATAAACTTCCTGGGAATGCATTGCCCATGCTTCATGAATTCCTGTCATTGGAGAGTGGAAAAGCTCGTTCCTTGTATGTGCAGGTCATGTCACTGTCAAACACACTGCTGGTAATCACAATATGTCTGGATTCTCATGTGAATCATATTCCATTGAGAAAAAAAAATGCATAGAGTTCAAGGCTAATGAAAATGTAGCAACTGTTCATGCATTTGTACATGGTATCTCCCACTTTGTTTTTGCAGCCTGCTGCCTCCCCAGAGGACACCCCTGAGCTCAGCGCCTTTTTGCGAAACTCTACCATTCCCCACCTTGTCAGGAAGAGGGATGTGCCTGTGGTTGAATTCCACAGACAAAGCCCTGCAAAAATACTGGTGAGTTACCCCAGTGTGCATAGAACTGAGGGAAATGAGTGGATTGGACAGAACTCCCAAATACAGATGGTTTTAACTTCAAGGATCGTTCTTAGTCTCACTCAGATATTCCTGATGTTTTTTGGCAGTATATATCGTGAGAATGAAAAGCAACTTTTCTGTAAGAATTAAGGAGCACTTGCAATACAGCCTTTTCACTTTTCTAAAGCTGCCGTGGAGGCCACCTTGGAGAATGATGGTGGAAACATCAACTCTGACCTTCAGTCCATTTCAGGAACATATAGTTTCAGTTGTTAGTCCGTGCATAGATGCACGGCTGTGGTAGTTTGAAGTGAGCATGGGCCCTTCGGGTTTTGCACCTGTCCCAGAATCTGAGTCCTCTGCTCATCTGGAAGAGGCAAGAATGGTGTGTTCACGGCTGGGTGTGATGGCTCACACCTATAATCCCAGCACTTTGGGAGGCCAAGATGGGAGGATCCCTTGAGGCCAAGAGTTTGAGACCAGTCTGGGCAACATAGCAACATAGTAGCCTCTACTTTTTAAACAGACATGCTGTTTCAGGTTTCCTGGGCCAAAACCCTTGCTGAGTCTTAGCATTGGGGTCTGTGGCAGCTCAAGCCTGAGCTCAGTAAGCCCTTAGCAAATCTTCAGTATTCATGAGTCAGCACTTTTTTTTTTTTTTTTTTTTTTTTTTTTTTTTT